ATATATATATATAATAGATGTCACATTTTGACACAAAACTGCTAAATTAAGTAATTAGTGCACATGCCTGTGTCTGTTTTCCAGATGTGTTTCATTGTATTCTGGACCCCTCATGTTTCTGAACGCATCCTGGTAGATGTCATTGGGGTGGATATGGCCTTCGCACAGCTCTGCATCATTCCACTGAGAGTCTTTTCCTTCTTCCCTGTGCCTGGTACCATAAAGTCTTTTCTTTTATATGACTTTATATAATTTACAGTGCATTATATCTATGTGACCTTGTGTCTGTGTTGCTATCAGTTACAGTTCGAGCTCATCTGACAGGCTGGTTAATGACGTTGAAGAGAACTTGTGTTCTGGCACCTAGTTCAGTTCTGCGCATCGCTGTGCTCATCACCAGCCTTCTAGTGCTGCCTTACATGGGGTTAGTATACAGGAGGAATATACAAATATGCTAAATGCATCTCTTTTAAATATCATTAAATGTGCTTCTCTGCTCACTATATGATCTATGAAGTAATTAGCTCTCTTGCTGTCTCTGAATTTTTAGTGAGTCTAAAAATAAATCATTTCAAATCCCTTTCTGCATTTTGTGAATTAATTATGACTCCGCTCCTCAGCTAATGCAGACTGCTGCAGCAACTTTTAATATAAGCTCAGAAAATGGTTCTTTAATGGGTTTTTTTTATCATAGCAACACTGCGCTACAACTGTACAGCATTAAAATCAGTTGGTATTATTTTGAAATCACATTTAACATGTTTATGGTTTTGTCTTTGGGCAGAGTGCATGGTGCCACACTGGGAGTGGGGTCTTTATTAGCAGGATTCGTGGGGGAGTCCACCATGGTCGCAGTGGCTGCCTGTTATGTATACCGAAAACAGGTGAGGAGCCATCGGACTGCAGAAGTCAATGATTCTGCAGAAATATTACAGCTAGTGTCCTATCTACCTTACTTTTCAGTGTGAAAGTAAGCTATTTTCTGTGAATGTGCAGGACTTCAGATTGATTAGGCTCTATACATAACTAAGAATGTGCAATAAACATAATGCTGTTTGCATGTTTATGATAATAAATCAGTTTGCAACATCAAGCAGCATAACGGACTCTTGTACAGCTAAAATATCTGGAAGCAGATGACACCAGATGCCTTACACATTCAAGTTATAAATTACAACGATATGTTTATATTTGTAACATGGGGAGCGTGACAACGGAGTTGAGAATCCAAATGCAGCTTTATTCAGAAGAGTTGTCAAAACAGGCAAGGTCAAACACCAGAAAACAGGAAAAATACAGGGTGAGACAAAAGAGTAATCCAATAAACAGGCAATGGTCAGGGTGAGCAGCAAACGAGCAAAAACATGGTAAACAGTCCAAGGTCAAAAAACAAGGCAAGGCAAGAACTAAGGAACACAAAAAAAACACAGGAACTTGGAAACACTACAGGCTAACAAAACTCAACGATGAGTGTGTGTATGAGTGCATCTTTTATAGTGTGAGATTGATAAGATAACGAGACACAGGTGAAGGCAATCAGTGATGAGTCCGGCAAAGGATTATGGGAAATGTAGTCCCGGGTAGAGTGGCAAGAGTCAGGGGTGGATTGCCCTCTGGTGGAGTTCATGGGCACTCCAGCTGGAGATCGTGACAATATTTGTGTGTGAATTTTGCTATTCTCTTAATTCTAGAACAATCATTAAAACGGAGTAACACTTTAGATTACACATATTCACTATTAACCAGTGTTAATTTAGTTGACGAATAATTTGTCATAATTCTCGTCAACAACATTTGTTTCACTGACGACAACGAGACGATAACGAACTAAAATTCTTTTTGAATGACAAAAACTATGACGAATATTTATTGACATTTTCGTCAACGAATAAAAACGAGACGAAAATGTTAGGGAGGGACGATTTGGGAAGCGATTCATTCAGAACGAATCTGCTGCGTGGTTCCACTTATATTATTGCACTGGTTGGCTATTAACTGCGAGCAGACAGAGTGTCATTCAATGCATTGGAGAATACAGCGAACATAAATAAAGAAACGAAGTTGCTTGGCAGATTTCCCTAACAAGCAACCATATTTTTTTTTAAATAAGCCTAAAAAACCGCGACCCGTGACCTGGGATTTTTTCAAGCAACTTTTTAAAAAAAGAAGCCCATAACTCGCAATTGCGAGTTTATATCTCACAATTCTGAGAAAAAAAGTCAGAATTGCGAGAAAAAAAGTCAGAATTGTGAGTTTATATCTCGCAGTTCTGACTTTATTTCTCAGAATTGTGACTTTATATCTCTCAATTATGACTTTTTAACTCGCAATTGCGAGTTTATATCACGCAATTCTGAGAAAAAAAGTCCGAATTGCGAGTTTGTATAACGCAATTCTGAGAAAAAAAAGTCAGAATTGTGAGATAAAAGGTCGCAATTACCTCTTTTATTTTTTATTCAGTGGCGGAAACAGGCTTCCATACTAATCCATTTCAAAGAACCGACTCAAAAGAGTTTGTTCATCCGCGAATTGGAAATTGTTAATTCTGATTTTAAAATAAGCATAAATGCTGAAAACATATGATAAAATATTGCCAGTATTATGGGAATCCCCTACTCCAGATAAAGACCATTAAATGGGTTTTGCATTAGCAGTTTTGCTTGGTAAATCGACATAAAATAATCCTAAATAAATATTTAAAGGTTACTATAATAAACATGCAGGAGGATCAATTAAGTTATATATGTATGTATATATATATATATATATATATATATATATTAG